AAATTCGCCGTCAGACATTCCGTCTAGGTCAAAGAGATAATCCAAGGATGTAAGAGTCTCAAGACTAATATTGCCATCAATCTGGCCAGTCAACCCATTGACAAGTGTATATAGTGTATTATTACTATCATCACTTCGTGACTTCTTAGACGTTGGGCGATTAACAGTTGCCACCCTACGCTGGGATTTTTTCCTTAAAGAAACCTTACGCCTAATAGAGGCCGGGACAGTAGGGTCCTCGTGGTTGCTATTCATCTTAGCACGCTCTATACTAGAGCTCATGTCTTGAACGACATCTGGTGAAGTATTACGTAACTCGAACACTTCACCCAGTGGATTTACACGTACCACTTCACGTACAGCATCCGGGCCTAGCCCTGAACACTCTGGCTTCTCGCCATCAATGTCATTACCGACATTCAGTAAGGTGCCACCTCGGCGGCCCTCACTCGGTGGAATTTCACGTGCCACTTCACGTACAGCATTCGGGCCTAGCCCTGAACACTCTGGCTTCTCGCCATCAATGTCATTACCGACATTCAGTGAGGTGCCACCTCGGCCGTCCTCACTCTGTGTATTTTCACGTGCCACCCCACTCACATCGGAGGAATTACATTCTTGATTTTTCGGCCCTAGGCCATCCATGCCTGCAGCATGCAGTGGCTCAGTATCACAACGAGTATCACTCAACGGAGTACATCTCTCTTCAAACACGTTAGAAGAGCCCCGCTTAATATTCATGTCATATACCTTCGAGCTAGTTAGCTCCGACATACCAATGTCCAGCACATTGACATCTTCCGTCAATGGCTCGCGCCAATAGCGCTTTTGTTGCCTAGCAAAGGTGGGTTCATGACTCTCCAAAGCTTCGCTAGGAACATTGCGCGTGGCGCCTAAGGTCTTAGACCTCCAATCAATCCATGGCTCATGGCGTTCAAGCCAAGCCATACCCAGGATGAGATCATGTCTCGACTCCAAATCGAGGACAAGACAGTGTTCAATGCTGTCAAAGTCTAAGAACTTCACACCTAAGTTCAACGGAACTTTAGGCACCGTGACACGACTACCAGTCGCTAAACTAACGGTGATTGAATCACCTTCATGCGCTTTGAGCGCTTCAGCATATCGCTGACTTCCCTCAAGGGAACGACGTCGAGCATAATTGCATGATGCTCCGGAGTCGATTAGGATCGACCAATGCTTCTTGAAGCCTTTAACTTTCGCCTCGGCGACTAACAAGCCAGGCTTGTATCCACGCTCTGTGCTGGTGGGCACAGAGATCGGTGGGGCTAAGCCCTGTTTCACTCTACCTTGTAGAGAAGCAAAAGAGCTCAGTTCTACCCCAGTAGGGCGCCCCGCACCTACTGGGTGTCGACGTTTCCCCGTGCCATACCAGTTTTCTGGTTGTGGATGGGGCTTCGACCCATAGGAGTCTATCGTTGCTTGCGCAACGGACAATTGGGACGCAAGTGTTAAGTGCTTCCGCACATAAACAGCGTCTCACTTCCTGTCGTTGCTCTGCAACATGAAGCTCCGCTTCACCTTGATCTACAGCATGGCTGAGATCCATCGGTTCTGGATTACAGTAAGCCGAGGTGCTCGCAGAGGTTGCCCTCGCAAAGCTTGGGCTCTACCCGTTCCAACCAAGTCTGGCCGACTTGAAGTTGTGCTCAGCATTTTGAGCGATGCTAACAGCCTCCCCAAAAGCAGAGGGATGGACCCGAAACACCTCGGTCCTGGCAACGCCATTACGAAGACCTTCCATGATGGCAGTCACATAGACTGTCTCAGGGAGAGGGTCAGACTGCATAGCAGCCATCAGAGCTCTCAACTCTTGGATATAGTTCGTTAGCTCATTCTTACCCTGTGGGTATACAAGAAGCGTGAGCGCACGCGATAGGCCTGGTTAGGCGGCGAGAAAACTCGCAAAAGGTCTAACTTGAGCGAATCCCATGTGGGAAACGCCAAGTCGACCGACGTGCCACACGTCAGAGCCAACTCTCTTGCTATTCCATCGAGCTTGGAGATGGCCAGCGAGACCCGCTGGTACTCCAGTGAGATAATACCAGAGCTCATGGCCATCTCAATCTCACGGATCCAGAGGGTCATGTTTTCTCCTTCCCGGAGTAATATTGAACGTCCACCCGAAGAGGACGAGACTTAGCCTCTTCTGGTGGCATCGCCACGTAGCGTGTTGGCATAGCCGACGCTACTTGGTTTTGAACCCGCCCTACCAGGGCCGTTTCACACTGCATGAAGGTCTCGAATCGTGCATTGAGCACATCGGGACCTTGTGCAGCTAGAAACTCCACATAACCTGGGCCTACGGTCGCGGTCAGCTTCTCAAGCGCGACCTTTTGGAATTCAGTAAGAGGTGAGGATTGCTCCATCCTCACAGAGGATCAGCCGTTACCGACTTAGGCGTAGATTGACTACGAGTGCTACGAAGTGTAGCGGATCTACACAGCTCCTTAAGTCAGAGGAAGACTTAACGCTCAATGAGAAACTTTGATTTAACGAACCCGAATCAAAGAGTCAACAGCTCTACGAGCAACTTTGGTTCTACGAACCCGACTCAGAGAGTCAACAAGCTCAGAGATCTTACGGTCCCTGTTCTAGGGGGACCAAAAGATTCAAGAGAATCACAGCACAGAGTGCTCTAAGAGCAGCTACCTTTCCAGGCGTTGCTAGCTCTTCCGATCAAGACGCCTCGCAAGGCACGTGTCTTATGTTGATCAAAATGTGAACTGAATTTTATTTCTTCTTTAAACCTAAAAGAACACCGTAGAACAAAGTAAATAACCTACTCACTTATGTCCTAAATAAACCTATTAAAAGATCTCGTAATCAATGGTTGACATACATCAGTCTTCAACAATTGATACTTGTGTTCTAATATCACTTTAAAGGGGATCCCATCCCTTGTGTGCACCACACCTATTGTAGACTGGTAGTCGACGTGTAACCCCGTTACATCCAGACTTCCTTCCTGTCGTAGCCTCACACTTAGCTCTTGTCGACCGCTACACCCACTGCTTTGTCGTACATCATACATATAATCTAGACATACCGTATGTGTTGTTTCTTTTTCCCGTTTAACTGCAACGCTCCTATCTTTTGCACTTAATCGTTCTACATCTCTTCTTGCATATGCTGCATGTTCGAGCTCGCAGCAGTCGCTGATGTCTATCATAATCCGAGATAGCTCACACAAACATGTTGAGAGGGCAGAAACAGCAATGGCTCGATCGTGCGTTGGACCGCAAACACGGTGGAACCTTCAGGTTTCGATTCGCATCGCACATCGCGTTTGAGGCCTTGTCAAACGCCGAAGTTGATCATCACATTGTTTCATGAGGTAGTGGATTCAGCCGTAGCCGAACTCGTGTCTCACGTCGATTCGGTTCACGAAAAGTCCACTTGACACACTCCATCCAGGAGCTCTTGCTATTTCGAGTGGTTGCTGTTGTTTCAGCAGCTGAGACATCGCTCTCGTTCCGGACCAATTTTGGTCTCGATAAGAGATTTTGACGAGGAACAAGAGGCATGTTCAAGACCGAATAGCATATCCTCGCTGTCTATGCTAAGTCCGTCCCTCCGCGACGTTGGGTGGGACCAAATGAGCTCGGCAGATTGCGAATTCAAATCATAGACTAAAATGTTGCGCTTAGTGCGACCCACGCTCCAAATTTGATCACGTGTGTTTGCTGACGAGAAAGTATACAGAGCATACCTCCAGTTTGTTTCGAAACAGCTACCTCTAAACACCCGCATTACTCTCAGCGGGCTTGCAGAGCCAGCAAAATTGTCGGTCTCGTACCGATAATAAGAAGCGTCGGGCATCATGAAAGGAGCAGTATTTGATTGTGAAGTAGAAGCAGGTAGACTTCGATGGTGTAGACAAATGCATAACATTAACAATTGCTACCGCAGATACAGTATGATGTACCCCTCGATGTCGACATCTATTTTATAAAGCCGGCTAGTCCAGAGCGATAAACGAAGGCGTTTGTCACACCGAGCACAATATAAAGCACAAAGCGTTCGTTTATCTGCTGCACAATATGAATGCGCCGAGAAGCTCCAAACTTCGACCAAGAAATCGCAGTATACACGCTCGTAACGTTTCGTCCCTGTGCAGAAGCAGATTCGAGTGGTGCTCATTCGAATAGATTATATGGCAGTTGACAACGTGTGACAATGTGCAGAAGTGATGGACATGCAGGAATAGGACTGCGTTGTGGCTTGGGAACGTCATTTGGTCACACCCGTTGTGTTCTTGTTCAACAAGCGACGTTTACGTGGTGGCCCGTATGGACTCGACCGAGCTCGCAGACTTTGGCCTTTGACTTTTGAACGCCCTAACGCCCACTGCCTATGCTGTATCATCGTTATCTCAACAGAGTATGTATCGTTCTCATAAAGGGAATACTACTGGCTCCAACACACGAGAAAGTAGGTACAATTCCTTCTTTTATGTGTGACCCACTACTTCTTGACCACAGTTTCCATGAGGAAGATATGGTTCAATTTCTATCCGTCCATTGTTTCATTCAGCATGTGACGGCTTCGTCGGTCAAGTTTGCAGCTTCGAACACGTATGGGTGCAAACTACTGCCTGTAACCGCACGATTCTTACCGTCTCAACCCAAACAACAAGCAAAGACGAACGATATGGACTTGAAGACAAGTACGCGTGTTCTTGTTTCTAGTGGTCACAGCGCAAGTACCGGATAGGTTACGGACTGTATAACCTAAGGACACGGGGGAGCAGCTAAATATAGGTGAAGCGCTGTTGCAAACGGGAGTACCGATACGGCAAGCAAAATGGATCGGCTGTGTGATGCTAATGTGGGAGTGTAGGGGGAGGTTTATGCTCTAGTCCTTATGAGTCGGACGTCGGGCGCTGTAGGTTGCGACTGCTATCTCTCCTAAGGAGTTCGCCGGGCCCTCGTGACCACGAATACCCTTGCTTGTTGGCATGAGTTCCTGGGTAAATACTACAATCGAAAATTGATAATTGCGACGTCACCACTAGACACGCACGCGGCGATCTGGTCACCCTGTTTGTTCCAATTGACCTCGTAGACATCACCATTTGCTTGATACATCTTTACTAAGGATCCGTCCTGCAAACACAGCACCATGCTTTCGTGAATCCTGACGTCGAGAGCAGACGCACACAAGTCGATCAAAAGCCAACGCACCTTCAGCGACCAAACATTGACCATGCCCCCTACTGTGCCACTTGCCAAGTGTTGCCCATCCGGGCTAAACGCAACACCATATACAGGATACCTGCAACAGTCACGTGTGCATCGTGGGCGCCAAGTTAGAACCAGAAGGAACACACCACTTGAGCCGCACGTTACGTACTGATGATCAAATGTTCTCCTACAAGATCCCGACTCTGCATCCCACAGTTTCACGGTGCCATCAAAAGATGCGCTGGCTAGTGTCAGAGGCTGGTCTGGTAGAGCTGTACCGGGGCCCGTGCAACTCCAACGAAACGTGTATACTTCCTTTTTGTGCTCTTGCAGCGTAAACACCAGTGCCACAGAGCTCGCTGTATCCAATGCCGGATCCACCTCGTTGTTCTTCGTGCTGTCACCTCCCGTGTCGTCGTCGTGCTCTGTCTCCTTCTTGCCAGTAACTTTTGCGTATGGTTCCCAGATTTTTACCGTGTAGTCATCAGAACAGGATGCCAGAAATCGACCAGACGGATCCCATTTGACCGAGTTGATTGCGTCCTTGTGACCACGCAGCACCATATCAGCTTTCGTTCCTCCCACGCGAGCCACACAAATATTCATGTCGGAAGAACATGTAGCAAAAGTAGAGTCATCCTTCCACGATGCATCCAAAATCGGATCGTCGTGCAGCTTGAGCTGTTGTCGTTTCGTTTCAGTCGTAGCATCCCACAGAACAACAGTCTTGTCGAAGCTAGCACTAAGCAGAAACAGACTAGTCTTGCTCCACCGAGTAGCAAATACTGGTCCATTGTGGTATTGGAACATGTGCTTCATCTCGCCTTCCGCATCCCATATCCGTGTCTTGCCGTTGTATGTTCCTGACGCTAACAAACATCCATTGTGCTACAATACTCGTCAGATCAGCTTCTAACGTCTGTCTGTCTAATCTTTCACACGAGAGAAAAAAGGGATGGACACGTACATTCCACTCGAGAGTCGTGACGTCCTTGTGCGGTCCTGAGCCATGGTCCAGTATCTTGTGCACCATAGATTTTTCATCTTCTACCTTGTTTGGCAGTGTCCAGAGCCTCGCCGTCGAGTCACTGGATCCTGACACTAAAACGTTCGTCGTTGGGTTCCACGAGCAAGCGTACACTTCCTTCTCGTGTCCGCTCAGCAACACAAGTGCCTCCTTGTCTAGTTTATCTACGCCATGCATCTCTGCAGCAGCACCAGTAGTAACAGAGACAGCGCCATCATTCGTTAATGATCCACGCAGCTCCTTTCATCTCCTCTCCCCATCCTCTCCGTTCAACCAGTCTCTCCTCTGTACCTTTCGTACCATCCACGGCGTGTGGTGAGCCCTCTCCTTTCCGCTTTCGCTTGTTACATGACTTGAACGACCTTGCACTACTCGAAGCAGACTGCGCCACCCGACAAATGTGCGGACTCAGCAGTGAAAACTCGCCACTGCACTCGCGCTCTGTTCCGTCCTGCTCACCACACCCAGCAACAACAACAACAACAACAACAAATAGCAGTAGGAAAACACAACGACACAACAAACGTCTTCGTCAGTCAACACGCACCATCGATGCACGATCAATATCGATAGCTATGCATATATATCATGTATAGACATTGATTGTATCCTGTTTTACGACACTAACAACAGCAGCAAAACAGCCGCTGGCCACACCTCGTTGATATGTGCTTCAATCCCGACGTACTGCAGTCCCTTTTGCAGAAACGACACGAGCGCCCCGGGCGGCACTTCGGTATGGATCACACTCGACTTGGCCAGCTGACTCTCGTAGGCAAACGTGAACGCCGAGTGCAAAAAGCCCGACTCCTGCAGGTACCGGTAGATGAGAAAATTCACTTCGTCCGACGTGATGGCCATCGTGAGGCAACGGGGCGAAGCGGTCGCGCGAGATAGCGGCGGCAGTGACGGGCGCTTACACGAGCTCCTCGGCCAGTAGAGAGCAGTGCACGGTGTCTACGTCGAGGTGAAGGACGAGGAGAGGGAGAGAGAGAGGGAGAGGCGCACGCGTGTGAGACGCACACGGCGCGCAGCAGTCGTAGAGCGAGGATCGACGACTGTCTCCGGGCTCGACGTCTTGCGCCGTGGCTTCCGCTAATAATCCGTCATACCGAATCACGCGCCACTCCCCCTCGAATGCGGATATTTCATTGGGCATAAATCGGTCGGCCCGCATCTCTCCACCGACAAAAAGCCCACGGTGCCGCATTCTATCGAATCACAGGGCGTCAAGCGCTTATTGGCTCAAGATCGCTAGCGCATAGACCCAACCACCTACGCGCACACCTAACCACAGCAAGCACAAAGGAAGTGTGTTGTATACGTGTATACATCAATTGACGAGCTTCTTCAAGAGCGCCTGCGCCTCGGCGTGGACACTCTCGTCCTCTTCCGTGCTACTGGGAGCCGCAAGCACCTTGTCCACCCACTCTCGCGCCTTCCCACGGTCCTTCTTCTTGTCATACACGCGCGCAATCAGCAGCGCCCGCGCCTTCCACGTCGTGGGCGCCAGCGCTTCCGACTTGAGGAGAAACGCGAGCGCCTCGTCATAGGACGCGTCAGGCGGCGTGCCAAAGAGCGCAGCCGCTGCTTTGCGCTCGAGCCACGACAGGTCCGCAATGGCCACGCACCAGCGGCCGAGGAGGTAGTAGGCGATCGGGTCGTGCGGCTTGAGCTGCACGGCGGTTTCCCAGTGCCGCTTGATCACAAACGAGTTCGCGATCGAGACTTTCGAGCCTTCGTAGTCGCCAATGGACGATAAGATGATGCCGTACCTGCAGCAATAGGCACAAAAGCACAGAAAGAGCAGTGATTAGGGAGGACTTCAGAGGACTACAGCCGTCTTATACCACAGGTGGTCGTTGCATGTAGCCATGTTGGGGGCGTTCGGATCGGCGGCGTACCAGACGTGCACTGCAGCGGCGTCGGGCGTTCGCTCGAGACCTCTCTGGATCACGTCGTGAGCAAAGTAAATGAGCGCCTTCTTCTCGTCGGCGCTCGTCGCGCGCAGGTTCGACACGTCGTACGCGGCGCGCGTGAGTCGCCAGAGGACGCCGACGTCGTCGGGATGGGCCGCGTGCATTGCTTTGAGCGTCGCCAGGAGCTCGCGACGGTCAAACGTGTTGTCGTTGTACAGCTCGTCGGCTTTCGTCGCGTCGGCAGACTCCATTGGGAGCGCTGCGGCGCACGATGCGGTCGTGAACGCGATCGCAGAGGCTGAGACGAGTGCGAGAGAGATCGACACGCGTCGAGAAGCGGCTAAAGGACGGGCGATATGCCACCCGCTGCTTTGGCGGAGCGGAGCGCGCGGACGTTGAGAACGAGCGACGAGGGACGACGGGGTACGAAGCGCGCGGACGGCCTGAGAGATGAGCACAGCACCTGCACATGAGAACGAGCGTTACGATCATTAGAGAGAGAGAGAGGAGCGGGTGAGAGGGGGAGGAGGAGGGGATGGACGAGAGCGCAGCACGTACGTCGCAGCATGAAAGCGGTACTGAAGGAAGAGGTGGGGAGCGTCTCTTGGCGGTTGTTATCAACGGACTGAGTAGACGCCGGTGCCGGCGACGAGAGGAAAGTCTGACGTGATGATTGTAACGACGACGGAGTAGATACGGACCACACGGATGTGGCCACATGTGTCCTGCGACTGCAGCAATGCAATAGGAAGAACGGCGCAAGAGACGAAGACAGCAGCAGCGAGCAGCTACGTGACGTGATCTACTTTGTGATGCCATAGCGGTCTGCGTAGTACTCTTTCTCGGCCTTCATTTTGCTCACAAACTTCTTGTCAAAGCGCTCGCGGTTGTCGTTGATGCGCGCGACAATGTCGTCCACGTCCAGCTTGATGGGGCTCTCGATCAGCTTGAAGATACCCGCCTTGCGCGCGTGCTCATAGTGCTCATCCAGCGAGAACGGTGACAGCTGGTGCTGGTCGCGGTGCGTGCCGTGCACGACGACCGAGATGTTCAGAGACGCCACCATCTCGGGCGTCACCTGCCACGGTGCGTCAATCAGCACGTCGTCCACGTACTTGCAGCCGAGTACACTGAGCACACGCTCGTGGAGGTTCATGATCGGGTAGTTGAGGCCCCGGTGGGCGTTCACCACGCTGTCGTTGTGCACCCCCACGACGAGGTACGAGCCCTCTTGCTTCGCAAGACGCAAGATCTCGACGTGGCCCGCGTGGAACATGTCGAACGCGCCATCAATGTACACGATCTTGTCCGTCTTCTGTGGCTCGTGATTGCCCACGGAAAACAACCGCAACATGCGGTTCGTCGTCAAGAACTTGGACGGACGCTCTTTGGCTTTCTTGTCCTGCAGCATGCGCGACGACAGCTGCCCGTTCGCCGCAAAGTGGTCGTGGGTGTGGTGCGTCTTGTGCATCACGAGCATCCGGCCGAGAATGTCGCTCGTCGACACGCCTTCCGTGCGCGGAATCGTCCGGTACTTGCCGAGCTTCTGGGCCGACTCGTAGACGTCCTTACCATCGACAATACACGGGTCGTCTCCATGCACGACGTAGTCAATGCGGTGCTTCTCGAGCATCCGTTGCAAGTACGTCTCGTTCATAATGTACGGACAATGCGGCTCGACTTGGTCTACAAACTTGCAGCCCTTGACCGACGCAATGCGCTCGTCGTTGTTCAGCACGGGCGGTGCGCCTTTGCAGGCCGTAATGGACTCGTCGTCGTTCACGCCCACGACTAAGTACGTCCCGAGCGACCGCGCCTGGCGGAAAGCGTTCATGTGGCCATAGTGCATCATGTCGAAGGCGCCGTCCATCCAGATGCGGATCTGCTCCTTCGGCGGCGCTTCCCGCTCCTCCAGCTCCATCTGCGCCATGCGGTCCTGCAGCTCCTGCACCTTTCGGTACGCCTTGTCCAGCTCCACCTTCAGCACGCGTCGTCGTCGACGGTGCCGCTTGCCAAAGAGCACAAAGTACATGAGCAGCGTGAAGACGCCCGTGAGCAGCGCGATCGCGAGGCGCTCGGCGTCTGGATACGGCTCAGGGATTCCCATGCGGGCGAGCAGGTGGTGCACGTGGACTGTGATCTCGTCAGCCGTGCGCGAGTGCAGCAGCTCGTGCACGTACAGCACGATGCGACTCATTCGTGTTTCGGCCATGGCTACAAAACGCAAAAGAGTAGAGGGAGGAGGCGGAAGCAGTGGCGCGTCGAGGATCGCTTGGGTATCAAGAATGAGAGGGAGGGTCACGGGATGCGAGTGTTGCGTGAAGGTGGGCAGAGAGGGGTACGCTGGATCGTATCCCTCGCCAGCCCTGCTGGACAAGGGGTGGGTGTACTCCTCAACATGCGGATCGGTATCGGAGGAGAAGCTCGGCCAGTATAATCCAGTCAACGGAGCTGCTTGGAAATCAGTGGAAGCGAGCGCTCGTACGAATTGCGACGTCGTTGTGTTCGCTCACCTCGCGGCGGCTTATTTCCAAATCGAAGCGCAAGTCTCCTTCACCGGTTCAAGCGACTGCGTTGTTGTTCATCTCCGACATCTTCTCCTTCTTCGACTACTACCAGTACTAGCACCATGGGTCTCTCACAGGAACGCAAGCTCGAGTACTTTGGAAAGCTCGAGACGATGCTCGAGAACTACACCAAGATCTTCTTGGTGGGCGTGGACAATGTCGGCTCGGCGCAGATGCAGCAGATCCGTCTCGTGCTCCGTGGCCGCGGCGAGGTGCTCATGGGCAAGAACACGCTCATGCGCAAGGTGTTCAACAGCTTTGTGAAGAAGAACCCAGGCCACCCGCTCGAGAACTTCATCCCACTGCTCAAGGGCAACGTCGGCTTTGTGTTCACGAACGACGACTTGACGGAGATTCGCGAAGTGCTCGAGTCGAACCGCGTGCCTGCACCCGCCCGTGTGGGTGCGATTGCGCCAGTGGACGTTGTCGTGCCTCCTGGCCCCACGGGCGCTGACCCCGGTCAGACGTCGTTCTTCCAGGCGCTGCAGATTGCCACGAAGATTCAGAAGGGTCAGATTGAGATCGTGTCCGAGGTGCTGCTGACGAAGAAGGGCGAGAAGGTCGGCAACTCGGAGGCTGCGCTGCTGCAGAAGCTGGACATCAAGCCGTTCTCGTACGGTTTGGTCATTGAACAAGTGTACGACAACGGCTCGATCTTCGACCCGGTTGTGCTGGACCTGACGGAGGCCGACCTGTGTGCCAAATTCGTGGCGGGTCTCCGCAACGTGGCGGCTGTGTCGCTCGAGCTGGGGCTCCCTACGCTTGCCTCGATTCCTCACTCGATCGCCAACGCGTTCAAAGACTTGGTGGCGATTGCTGTCGAGTGCGAAGAGTTTTCGTTCGAGAAGGCCGAGCCGTACAAGGCGTTCCTGGCGGACCCGTCAGCATTCGCTGTGGCTGCCCCTGCTGGTGGTGCAGCTGCTGCCACGGAGACCAAGAAGGACGAGCCCGTTGAGGAGGAGGAGGAGGTCGACATGGGTGGCGGCATGGACATGTTTGGTGCTGAAGACTACTAAGGCTACTGTTGCTGCGGTCGCTTGACGGTCAAGTGAGGTGTACTGGAGGAGAAACGCTGTGTCTGTGCACACGTAGTAGTAAGAGAAGGTAGCCGAGAGCTAGTTTTTACTTCCACTGCATGTGACAAGAAGCGATGCAACGAACAGAACCGGAATGGAGCTTTTCGACGAATCATTGTGTGCTTCTATAAACTTGTGAGACTTGACATCCTGTACCAACTGATGGGCTGTGCGCGAGACTTAATCTCTTCATGGCGCGGTTCAAATTTAAATGCAGATTCAAAAGTCGGCCAAATCGGTCACTACTGTCGCTGCTCAGTGTGCATTTATTCACCCAACATGAACAATGTGCCCGTACGTCTGCTCTGCTTCTCTGTCATGAGCCTATGTTTGTTGTTTCGATGTCTTCCTCTTATCCAACATCACTCACGCTGTGCTTTCCTACATCGCTAGTTGGCTACAGAACCACTTGCTCATCGACAACGTGGCTGCAAGTGCAAGAAGTCCAATTGTCTCAAGCTCTACTGCGAGTGTTTTGCAGCAGGCGGTCGCTGCACTGAGAGCTGCCAGTGCATTAGCTGCAAGAATCAGACTTCGAATCAACTGCTGATCGATGAGGCTCTTCAGGCCATTGAGAAGCGCAAACAGAAGTCGTTGCGCTCTTCAGTACGGGTCGACAGATCCCTAGAGCTCGACCGAGTCGTCGAACTTACAAGTTGCTCTGTGGTTCGCTCCAAGACACCTGCAACGTTCTCGACAACTCAAAAAGCTGCTGCAACAATCGGTGGCGATTCGCCTGAGAGAACAAAAGGATGCAGCTGCAAAAAGTCCAATTGCCTCAAACTCTATTGCGAGTGCTTAGCTGCGCAACGGATATGCGATCATCGCTGCAGTTGCAAAGGATGCAGGAACCGACACGAGACGCTGGCCGAACGCGAGTGGGCCGTTGCTAGAATTCTTGAGCGGAATCCGATGGCTTTCCAGCCCAAAATCGCCACTGGATCGAGTCAACATGTCCGAGGGTGCAATTGCCGCAAGAGTGGATGTACAAAGAACTATTGCGAGTGCCATCAAGCCGGAGTGGCGTGCACCGCTCGCTGTGCGTGTCAGAAGTGCCGAAATACGGAGTCTTGTGCGCTGGCCAAGAAGATGCTGGGGCTTGCAGGTGCCAATACCGATGAGGACAGTCCACGTGTCCGCTCGGATCCAGCATCGCAGCGAACGCTTGTGAAGCAGCTTCATCGTGTGGACATGACGAATGCAGACTGGCACGACGGATTGCAAACACCGCCTCACGTCTTTACGAAGAAGCCCACGGCGTTGGAATCGCTGTCAAGAACTGCCCCGGTCGGGTCGTCTACACCGATGCAGCGAAGAAAATTTGCTGTATATGACGGACCTTCGACAGTGCCGACCAAACGTCCGTCCAGCGACATGGACCGCTATCACGCAATAGACGAAAGCATTGTTGCACCTGCATGTGCCAAGCGAAGATGTGCAAGACGCAACTCGCACAAGCTCTCTGTTGTTGAGCATGTTCAAGAAATGGTAGCCCCGATGGAAGACCGACTGCCGAATGCAGTGGACACTGTGGCCAACGTGTACGATGCAAGGAACACAAGAGGAGTCGGTGATCCGGAGCTCACCATTCTCGGTCGATCACTTCTTTACGCTGCGATGGCCGTTGAATGTGCTGATGAGGAAAACAATGGTGCAGCTTCTTTTGCAAGTCACCGACCGGTCGAAGAGCAAGTCGGGGATGTTGAAGCGGAACCGCAGCGTGCTGATGACATTAGTGATAATCGTGAAGCATTGTCACCTACTGCTGCTGGTTTGTTCTGCGAGGAAGAGTACGCTGAGGCTACAGACGAAGATGACGACGCTGCAAAACGGGTGTCAAACGGATGCAGCACGGCCTCTAGCACAACGTCGGCCGATCACGAGTCTATCAGCTCAGGCGGGCAGATCGGAGGCAAGCACAGTCGAAGTGCCATGCAAGAACGTGCTGTGCTTCAAGAGTTCAGCGTGTGGCTTCGGAACGTGGCAGCAGACGCACGCTCGTGCGAATGAACAATCCAGAGTAATCACATCGCTGCAACCGAAGAAGAGGGGCCCAACGACAGCAGCGCAGTCTATATTGCCAGACCAGAGCTACTGGTACAATTCGACACGGACTGTGGCAAGCGAACTGCGCAGTTGCTGCCATCCGTTACAATGTCGAGTCGTCGATACCCTCGCACTTGTAAATGTGTTTGATGGCGTCATAAACGCCATCGACAAGCACGTCCGGTTTATGCTCGGGGTCCTTCGAGCCATCGTAAATCCCCGTTCGAACAAGGACGGAAGTCCAGTCATCGCCAGCATTGTTTGCACCCTGGATATCGGCGAAAGGATTGTCTCCAATGCCGTACATGCGCTTCAGCGGCTCAGGCTGTGTCGAGATGGTGTTGAGAAGGCGCTTTGCGTAACTGATCGTTTTGACACAGGTGACCAAGAATGTGAGTCATGATGCGTTCAGCGCCGTTCGAGAGTGACTCTTTACGTACTCGTACGTAACCTTGTGGGGTTTGCCGTAGTATGTCGTCTCCAACTTGCGGCCGGTGTAGTCTTCATACAGCAGTTTCAGGCACCGCGTGAAAGCTCCTGTACAAGACCAAGCCATCCAAGACGCAAACAGATATAGCATGAACAAGCGAAAACAAGATCGACGCAACGACGACCAGTACCTTGGGCGAATCGAGGAAACGGGTATGCTCCACTAAAAACAAAGTCGTCGTTGCTCAAGAACAATGGCGTTTGCTTGCCTGACGAACCTCCACTCCCGGGCGGATCGCCTCCAATGAGCACATCGACTGCGACCTGGATTTCAGGTGCCCAATCGATCGGATCGTGCATCACAATGATAGCTTCAATGGGCTCATTGCAATGCGGTGCCGTTCTGATCCGACATAAGCACACGGCACGAGTAAGATGTCGATAGCCACACGCCTACAACTGCGGTACAAGATCATGCGATACCTTTGTTCGTAGTTCACGAACGGATACTGCAGAGGATGGTGGTGTAGCAGGTCCTCCACGCTCACAATCTTCTTGAAGCCGTAGCACTTGGCCTACAACAGTGTCGCAACAACTGCGTTGAGTAGCACTCACTGCGTTGCCAGTACGTATTCTCAAGCCGCACATACCACACGCCAGACATCATGCGAGCCCATGATGAGCACTCGCTTGTCTATAGCCACACAACAGAGCACAAACATTCGGCTCTTGTATTCCATTTTGCACCAGAAAGCAGCGACACCACCAAAACACAATCTTCGTCACTCACCTCCGTACGTCTTGACAATCTCTCGCATGGGCGTGTGCGAGAGGATCATGTGCTCGGGGTCAATGTACCGGTCGAGGATCGTGCCCAGTTTTTCGGCCTTCTCGTCTTCCATGCAGCCGCCGCCATTGGTCAAAAAGATGTGCGCGACATTGTTCGCCCGAAGCGAGTTCAGCACACGCTTTGCTTTCGGAAGTGCGTGGCCGCCGCTATCGAAAGCACAATACCCTTGTCAGTCATAAGTGAACATATAACAAAGGAGAGAGAAAAGAGGCTGCTCGCTTGTCAATCGCTATTGCTCTACTCTAATTGCTGTACTGCGCGCTCTACGCACCGGATCAAGACGCCGTCTATGTCAAACGCAATGCCAAAAGACGGACCAGAGCGCAGACCAGTTGGCGCGTTCGACGCAGCCGAAAACGCGCGGCGAGAGAGTGTCGGGACGTGACACGAGCGCCACATGTAGACCGCAGTGACGTCGTTGGGGGTCACACGTTTTTGATGTACACCACACTATTTCTGTGCTGTCACTTGACCGAGGCGACTCGCGCCCATTTATCCACCCACCCACTCTTTTACCCACCCACTCTTCCACCCACTTTCAGGCCCGCTCGTGCCTCCGGTGGGTGATTCTTTTTGAAAGCCATGGAGCTCATCATTGGATGCGTGGGCAAACCGAGTGCCGGCAAGTCGACGTTCTTCAACGCTGTGACGGACGGCCGAGCCAAAGTGGGCAACTTTCCATTCACAACGATCGAGCCCAATGAGGGCGTCACGCACTACATGACGCCGTGTCCGTGTGCAGCAAAGGACAAGACCGCAGTCTGTGCCCCACGCTATGGAGCCTGCAAACAGGGCACGCGGTACGTTCCCGTGAAGCTGCTGGACGTCGCGGGGCTCATACCAGGAGCTTCGGAAGGGGCAGGACTGGGGAATAAGTTTCTGGACGATCTGCGTCACGCCCATGTGCTGATGCACATTATTGACGTCTCTGGACACACGAACGAAAAGGGCGAAGAGACAGTGGGGTATGACCCCATCCACGACGCCGAGTGGCTCGATACTGAGATCCACATGTGGGTGTTTACGAACCTCTGGAAACGCTGGACGTCGATTGCTCGACGACATCAATCGACGCGAAGCAGTTTGCACAGTACGTTCGTGGGACAGCTGTCGGGCTACGGAGCGACGCCGTCACTCGTGAGCAAAGTGCTCGACCGGGTTGGGGCGAAAGAACCTGTGGACCTCCTATCGTGGACAGAAGACGATGTGCACGCGTTTGTCAAGACGTTTCTCGACATTCGTTTTCCTACGGTGTTGGTGCTCAATAAGGCGGATCAGGGGGACGACACCGACCGCAATATTGAAAAGATTGTGGAGAAATACGGTAGTGACCGCTGCATCGTAGCAAGCGCAGCAGCCGAGTGTTTCTTGCGAGCAGCCTGCAAGCAACGGTATATTCGCTATGAACCAGGATCGATGTTCTACTCGACGCTGGAAGAGGAGGAAGAGAAAGAGGATATCGATCAGCTCACCAGCGCTGGTCCTCTGAAACCGATGGAGCGGAAAATCCACAAGCGTCTAGAGCGCATTTCTGATATGGTGCTGTTCCGCTATGGCAGCACTGGGGTCCGATCTGCTATCAATGCCGCCGTCGAGCTCGCGGACGTGGTTGTGGTCTACCCGGTGAAATCATTGAAAAGCTTTGCTACCAACACGACACCGGGAGTTAATAACAAGGCCGTCTTTGCCGATGCAGTGATTGTCAAGCGTGGCACGACCATCAAGGAATTGGCTTGTCGTATCTCGCAGTTCCTAGGAGCGAACCTTGCTTATGCAGAGGGCGACGATGGCCGAAGGCGTGGCGAAGACGAGCCCATCACGAGTAACAGTCTCATCGTCAAGTTCACAACGACTGTCGCGTCATCCGCTTCGGCAATACAGGGAGCTTCTGCTGCTGATAAGGATAGCAAGAAGGGGGCCAACGTAATAGGCAGAGCGAAGGTGCGAGCCGCTGTAGGCGACAGCATCGAGTAGAGACGTAGAGTAAAGATTGACAAACATGGAGCAGTGGAAACGCATTTACGTCTGTCCTCTTCAGCACAGATGACAACGGTTGTAAAGAGTCGAAGTGAAGCGCTGCGGTCAAGTCTCTCGAGAACAAGAGAGAACACGGACGGTGCCCGCACATCGGGTCGTCTGGTCACTAGGCACTGCACGTGACCTGGGCTCGAGGGAGCGCTTGCGAAGGAACACCGCTCGTCTGCGCCACAAGGCCAAAACTGCCGGAAATGAAGAGACGGCCGAGGCCCATGGACACGGAGTCGAGCTCCTCGGTGCTCATGATTGCGCCGGCCAGCTCAGCTTCCGGCGAGAAAATGTACACGCCCTTGTAGCACGCCACGTACACGTAGCCGTTGTCGTCGACTTTGATGCCCCTAGCATACCCGGCATCAGTTTCCAGCTCAGGGTGAGCCGTGAAATTGAAAAACACGCTCGAGTTGCTGACCGTGCCGTCGGCTGCCATGACATAGCTCTTGACGTACGAGTTGCCCTTCTGCGAGTTGGTGATGTACATGATGTCCTGTTCCGGCGAGAAAGCAATCTTGTTCGGGCGCGTCATATCGCAGTCCACGAGCTCCACGGATTGATCGGCCCCGTCACGCAGCATATAAACTCCGTTGTACGGAATCTCACGAAGCGGAGACTTGTCGAGGGTGTCGTCGTCAAAGTCCGCGGCGCTCGTGGCCAGGCCGAACGGGCTGTCCGAAAAGTATAGAATGCCGTTGCGAGCGTACTCAGCGTAAGTAGGGCTGTTGAACTTTCTTCCACGGTACGTCGAAATGGCGTCCACCACTTGACCCTGACAAGCATCGTCGACCGACTTGAAATTGAGCACACCCAAAGTGCGGCCACCGGTACGAGCAATCACAATGCGGTCGTTCGTGGGGGATACAGTGATACCGCCGCAGCCCTTGTAATACACGTCATCGCAGCCCTCAGGGTGGTTCTGGAACGAGCAACCTGACTGGTACGCTGACACAGAAAGCGTCGTGGCAGCAGAGCAGACGCCTTCTACGTTCACATCGATTTCAGTCGTAGAATTGGACGAGTTTGTAATCGTAACATCCGGCACGTCCTCTGCACTCCACTTCCAAATGGCGTTACCCTCGATGTCGCAAAATAGCACATCGATATCGGATGTGTCTGGGCTGCCGCTCGTCAGGAAACGACGGCTCGGGCTTGTATAGCCTCTAATAATCGTAGGCGACGTGTACTTCGAAGCGGGAGAGGAGCTACCGGAGCTGCCCGCCGAGGACGACTGGACGACTGTTTCCAACGTGCCCAACTGTGACGACAGCGAGTCCACATTGGCTGACAGCTGAGCATTGTACGTCGTCGACCAGAAGGAACCACCGGACGCACTACTTCGTGGCGCAGTCGAAGTCGGTCTTGGCAATGTACCGGCATTTGTGGGCGTAGCTCCACCACCAGCACCTCCACCTCCACCAGCGCCTCCACCTCCACCAGCGCCTCCACCAGCTGCTCCACCTGTACCAGCACCTCCACCACCTCCTCCGCCAGTACCTCCACCTCCACCAGCGCCTCCGCCACCACCTCCACCAGCACCTTCACCAGCACCTCCACCAGCACCTCCACCAGTACCTCCACCAGCACCTCCACCAGCTCCTCCACCAGTCCGTCCACCAGCTCCTCCACCAGCACCTCCGCCAGCACCTCCACCAGCACCTCCACCAGTACCTCCACCAGCTCCTCCACCAGCTCCTCCACCAGCTCCTCCGCCAGCTCCTCCACCAGCTCCTCCACCAGCTCCTCCGGCAGCACCAGCTGCTCCACCAGTACCTCCACCTCCACCAGTACCTCCACCTCCACCAGCACCCCCTCCGCCAGCTCCACCACCAGCAGCTCCACCACCAGCACCTCCACCAGCTGCTCCACCAGTACCTCCACCTCCACCAGTACCTCCACCTCCACCAGCACCTCCACCAGCTCCTCCACCAGTCCGTCCACCAGCTCCTCCACCAGCTCCTCCACCAGCTCCTCCGGCAGCTCCTCCACCAGCTCCTCCGGCAGCTCCTCCACCAGCTCCTCCGGCAGCTCCTCCGGCAGCACCAGCTGCTCCACCAGTACCTCCACCTCCACCAGTACCTCCACCTCCACCAGCACCTCCACCAGCTCCTCCACCAGTCCGTCCACCAGCTCCTCCACCAGCTCCTCCACCAGCTCCTGCGCCAGCACCTCCACCAGCTCCTGCGCCAGCACCTCCACCAGCTCCTACGCCACCATTTCCTCCTCCGCCACCATTTCCTCCTCCGCCACCAGTTCTTCCACCAGCACCCCCTCCACCAGTTCCTCCCCCAGCAACTCCACCAGCACCAGCACCTCCACCACCTGCAGCAGTACCTCCTCCATTTCCTCCACCAGTTCCTACTCCTCCAGTTCTTCCTCCTCCACCATTTCCTCCCCCAACACCTCCACCACCAGTTCCTCCTCCGCCATTTCCACCAGCTCCACCCCCACCACCAGCTCCTCCCCCTCCTCCACCTGTCAATGTTCCTTCGCCATTCGACTGTCCTCCTCCCGCTCCGTTTCCACCGTTCGTGGACCCTCCCGTCGTGTCCCTTCCCGCAGCAGTGCCAGACGTACCGTCGCCGTTCGTCCCGTCGTCTTGTCCCGTCACGCCGTCACTTGTCTGGTCGACGTTCCCGTTCCCCGTGCCTTGAGACAGCTCCAGTAGCTTCTGCGCTCGCGCACGAATGTTCGGGAACACGTTCTCCTCAAAGTACGCGAGTTGTCTCGCCGCAGTCGCTCCCCACGCCGCCACCTGCGTCGGATACAGTCTCTCGCACAGCTTAAACAGGGACAGCACCTCGTCCGTCGTGTCGTCCGTCGCCACGAGGTACCGCGCCGCGTGGTCTTCGAACAGGTCGACGCTCAGTAGTCGCCGGCCGTCCTGCAGCGGCGACGACGTCAGAAGCGCTTGCTCCAGTAGGACCAGCGCATTGACAGCTGTCGCGTCCTCTGCGGCCTGCGCAGCGACGAGGGCCACTGCTGCGAGGAGCAGGTAGCGCGCGCACCGCATTCGCCCTCTGTGTCTTCTCGTGGAAGTCGGCGGACAACGAGTCAGTGCGTTCGTGGGCCGAAGTGGAGTGGGCCGAGCGCACGACCGAATCGTTTCCTTTTGTGTCGGAAGACGCGCGCAATGGCGTTCGCCCGGGCGGGGGTCGGGTTCTCGTACAAGTACGATTCGAGAGAGCAGACCCAGCGAGAGAGAGAGGCAGACGGACCACGTTGCGCACAAAAGGTCGTTGAGCCAGTGCGAAGAACGACTTTCAGCCAATCGACGACTGCTATGCGATGTGGCCGCGGATCGTCGGCTTGCTCGTTGTGTGGTGGTGGACAGGTGTTGCGAACTGGTCGGCGGTCAGATTGGCCCGTCACGTGTCGTATGCGTCGACAGTGTCGGCCGCAACAACGACGGAGGGAGAGCAGAAGCTCCTGATGCTGGAAAGTATACTCGTGGTATACACTCGTTCCACGCGCCTCGCCAAGTCGTTCAGACAGGTGGAACGGCTGTAGTAGTAGCCCATTGACATGACTTGATTTTCTGGCTGAAAATTTCACTAGATCCGCGCTGAAAACAAGGCCAGCGCGCGATCGTGGATGCAGTCGTGGACGAACAAGTGCCGCATAGCGGCTATGCGGCACTGGGACGTGTCATGGACCGCTCTGCGACTCGAGGTCACTTCAGACGACTGCAACCATTGGCAAGAGCAATCCGGTCAACTTCCTGCGGTACGGGTGCGGTCCTACCAGATCGACGCGTGTGGTAATCCACAACGGCTCCTGGATGGGCGGCGACAGCGCCTAACCCTAGTCACGGCAGCGCTCTATAGCACTTTTTGACTCGTGATACGGAGAGCCTCCATGTTCCCGAGCTCATCTCGCTGCGCTCACGCACGGACTGCTGCTCGAGGGTCCTGGTCGACAAGATCCGTGTTTTTCGTGTGGATCCGATTCGGTTCGACACAAACAGTTGCGTGTCGGTCGCCGGCTGCTCCGAGCGAGCGGCAACGCTGACAGTACACGTTAGTTGCGCTGCTGCACGCGTGTTGCACGACATGATGCCCTCTTGCTGCTTTCGAGCCTACGAGTCAATCTGAACGGCCTCGGCGACACACGAAGCGCACATCCGAGCAGGTGGGTCGCCTGCAACGGCGCGACTCTCAGTGTCGCACAGCAACCCCCTAAGCCTGTGTAAACAATAGTGTCTTTCACTGCCCGCCTTTTGCTACTGCCGTTGCCGCTGTCGTCAGAGTGATGGTCGCTTCGTTTCCTTACCATCCATGTCCGGCCTTTCTTTCGCCATTCCGCAATCCACCACGTTCAAGGCGCATTCCATGGACACCAAAACGCGCACGCTGCTGGGTGGCGTCTACGCCGGCATGGGCGTCGCTATGGCCGCTGCCGCCAAGTTCGACTGGCTGCCGAAAGGCGCAGTCGCCGCCTTCCTCTCGCTCGTGTGGCTGGGCTTCGTGCTTGCGATCTCGTGCACAGAGTCGTGGGTGAAGTTTCGCGCGCCGTTCGTGCCGCGTCACTTGGCGCTGGATGTGGGCCGCACGATGTTTGCGGCGCTCAATTCGGTGGAGATTGGGCTTTGCGTGGCGCTCTGGGCGCTGCACTTTTTCGTCCCGTCTGCCGAGTACGACGCCGTGTGGCGTCTCGTTTTCGCTTCGTTCCTTGTGGCCGTGCAGGTTGCGTGGCTGTACCCCAAGCTGGAGCTCACGGCCGAGTATGTGTTGTACGAAGAGCTCAAGGAACTCGACGTGGACAAGTTGTCGTTCAACCAGAAGATGCGGCTCGGGGAAATGCGCCACAAGGTCCAGATCCAGAGCAAACCGGCCACGATCTACCACATGCTGTATACGGGGGCTGAGGTGCTCAAGGCGATCACGCTCGTTAGTTTCGCGCTGCACTTTCTCACGGACATACAAGCGTGAGTCGGTGCATCCTCTGGTTGTGTGTATACCACGCAGCGAACATGTCAACAGATCAAGACCCTCCTCCCCCCTCGCTCTTCCGCTTTTTTGCCGCAGACGCCATTTGATCGCTCGTTGTGCCAGTAGTGATTCGTAGGGAAAAGGGTTGGCGTGGATAGGAACAAAGTTGTCTTGTTGTCACGATCACGCCGGACCGCCGATCATTGATTGATTGCGTGCCTTTTTGGCGGTGCGGAGAGTGGTGTCTTTTTGGTCGGGCGCTCAGTCACTGCATCGACACGCGCACCGAAGGGGCAACGGATTACGTGCTGTGCCGGCCAAAGAGCTAGTCCGCCCTCGGCCAGGCAGCAGTGAGTGAGAATGTAGCAGCTTGTTTTGGCTGCTAGGCCTCGCTCGTCATGACTAGTGCGTCTACAGTGACAGCAGCACATCAACATTCCGCCCGGAGAGCGCCCACTATCGGCTAGACAACAGTTTATTGTCTCTGCTGGGCTGTGTTCGAAAACGTGACTGTCGAGGGATGGGTATTTGGTGATGCTGGACGTCTTTTACGCAACTAAACGACGAACAAAACTACACGGACCTTTTGGCCGTGTTTGTTTCTTCGGGTGGAACGGAAAGTTGTCCTGGCGGATCAATCGTCTTGTGAGCAAAGTCGAGATGGTAATAAAGATATGGCAGTATGTGCGTATGGTGCACAAGGCGTTCTTGCACAAGATGTAGCGAACAAGGAAGCTACAAGATGTACCAACGTTGTGTAACTGGCACCTTGGGAAGAAGTCTACACGTGTTTCTCTTCCTGCAACAATGCTTGCTGCTCGCTGCACAATCAGTCGTTACGTCTAGGCAGGGCCACGCCAGGAGGGACCTGTCTTAGCTCAACAACGTGAAAGCGCGTTCGTCAAACGGTGACTGACCAGTGCATTGGACCACTCAACGAATCTTCTAGCAGTTGCTTGATTCCCCCTCAGACGCCGCTATACGGACGCGCAGTTGGTTGTCTAGAGCGTGCTGCCGATCTGATCACAACCGAGATTGCGCATAAAATCAATGAGTACGGGGGTACGATGTGCCGTTTTTGAGAATATAACGCTGCCTGATCACGCGGTTCTTGCAAATCCCTATATGATACCCGCTTACTTGCTGCGAGGCAAGGCCAGCGGCGACAACTCGACACCTATGTTTTGCGCGCATGCCGATACCGGCGACAGTCGCTCGAAGTCAAATCACACCTCACTTCATTGCGCGCACCACGGTGTTGGACACAAAAAGACAACGATGCATCAAGAAAATGGCTACATAGCTCGATGATGTCGCGTTCAAATAGAGCTACACCTGTCACCACTAGCAGCAGCACCTTATCGCATTGTTTGTTGTATCAGCAGTGGCATGATCAGCTCATTCTGCGTGTGACTTAGTGTAGTAAGGTGAGCCCGTTACGTGACACCAGAGTGGGTCCATCGAATTATCAGCGTAATTGATAATAATCTCTTATGTTAATCCTACAAAGAACATAATAAAGAAATTTACGTCCATGAATAATATTCAGTATCACTCCACTGATTAATTAATCAGTGGAGTGATACTGAATATTATTGATTTACGCCATTATATCGATTAACTGTCCTCTAATCGCTATCAAAGGCGCGCAATGGGTGGTGAGCGAGTAGCTACATACGGAGCAGTACTCGAATACAATTGAAGTAAGATCACGAGAGAGTTATAATTATGAAGCTGAACAGTGCTAAATTTAGCGCTACTTGTTTCTTTTCTTGAACGTGTTTTTGAGCAAAAATGACATTCCTCTGCACGTACAGAGTGCTTGATCATTCCAGACGTATATCTACACTGTGGCAGTCTAGGCAGCTTCTATTGTGTTAGTACAAGCGGATGGTGTCCGTTGCAGTTAGTCAGTCGCACCGATGCCAGTATAAAGCTGCACCGATAAAAAAGAGCTGAAGCCAACATGTGATTGATCAGTGCGAATTATCCTAGACTACCAGCAGCACATACGAGCATAATATTATATCTACCGGACTGCTGGAAAGTCTAGCCTAACATGCTGCTTTCCTTGGACTACGCGTTATCGTAAATTTGGTACATGTTAACGACCGCAGATGAACCAAGTTTGTGTGCATTAATTAAAGTTATCGATGGTGTTTGTATTGCTGCAACTATAGTTTCCTAGACGTGCGTACGGCAGCACGTTTGTCTCAATTACTAAGAAAGTCTTGGGTCGAATAACCAGTCAGGCGCGACGGGTGCGGCGGATTTTATATGAGCGACAGTACATGACAGAACAAAGGATGCACAATTCTCGAGCAATGTTACCGGTCTTTACATGGCCCGTAAGAATATGGACCTGCATGGTGTAGCATAGCGATGTATAACGTACAAGTGTCGCCAGCCCTTGAATCCAGTGCACACTTAACGTCATACCGACAAATTTAGCTCAAACCAACGTTCTTTGCAAATAAATCGCTCATGTATCATGTTAAAGAACGGTAAATTTGTGTGCAACGTGATCATGGAATATAATGATCGGTAGCGACGTATACCGAGAATGCATATAAATTATATAGCAAAATGTTTACGACGTCTAGTGATTATCTACAGAGCGCAACAGAATTGGTCTCTGGACCCAGAAGCATGTAACGTACGCAGCTAACAAGAGCGCAGTTATGTGTGGGCCTGTTTCCTGGAAGAGCTATGGTTCTGCTATACATGCCATTCGATCTCTTTCGGATCTCGTCTTGTGAAAGCGACGATTATTTCGCGTATAAATCGAGAACTGGGAACTTTAACATATCGTTGTAGGCCGTAATATCTGTACATAGCTGCGTAAAACTCACTACATCATTACCTCATCAATAATGGGTAAAAGGCTCTAACATAAAGGAATATAACGACCGTAGATCATCAGTTTTTCTTTTGACGATGATGCAGTGCGCCTTGAAAGAGACAAGGTCTATCCTAAACATGTGGGGAAGTTATGGGTGACGTGGCCGGGTCATACTAGATAGTGTGACTGACAACACGTTGCAATGATTTTTTACCACTCGATAATGCACGTTTATATAATAAGTTTAGGCGCGTTCGAAGAAGGCGAGTTTATGTCGAAGATAAAGCACCCAATTCCTTTCAGCTCATTAGCGTCGCTTCGACTTCGCTCGTTTATTTAATTGATACATGACACGAAAAAAATTACGGGAAATATGGAAATGCTGATATAATCGCACAACGTGTAAAACATTCATACATATCTACGATACCGGAACGACGAACCTTCATCGCATTGCACACATTACACCTACGATACCGGAAAGACGAACTTTCATCGCATTGCACACAATACATCTACGATACCGAAACAACGAAGCTTATTTACATTGCACACTCTCCACACACCTAAGCCCATTTTATCTGTTAGTAATTCTCTGTGCTCGGTCTTAATCTTCAAGACGTTTCATTTCGCGGCAGCTGATGACTATCCGATAGATTTATAAAATGCTAAGGCTTGAGTACGTTTTCACAACTGACATTTACAAAAGAACCTGCGCTTTCGGATACTCTTGTTGCGCACTCCTAAGTTTGCAAAGCCCTCTCTGGAAAAATTGACACTATCGTCACACGGTCACTGTCGTCGGTCACTTAATATATAGACGCTATAGTTTCACGGTCCCTGTAGCCGACCACTTACTATGCCTCTCACCCACTATGAGCTTATAACGGTCCTTCGTAAAAATCCAAAACAGAATCTCATGCAAGTCCAACGTGCATAGCGAAGATATGTCTTATCGTTTCATATGTGGTACATATCCCTGCCTACTATCATGAGGATATAGAGTGATGCATATAATGTATGCGTTTTTTTGTATAGCTATTCTATCTCTAAGCTGTACCTTCAACCTTCGCAATGTTCAATTTTCATTGAGAAACACGGTCAAGCGACATATATTATGATCTCAAAGAATGCATCTGAACGTGAAGACAAATATTTTACGTATATTTCTCGTAGCGGGAATTTGTATAGCCTACCTTGATGGCGATGCTGTACAACCTAGCATACAACTGAACCACCAAAGTCGGCTCTTTAGTTATTACAATTCTAGGCAGCTGCGTAATTGGTATATAGACTGTACCTGATAACGACTATTTTGTTACAGAACTACAATCGGCTTAGCTAATACCAGCTTCCTGTGAATCAGAATGTAGTATTTTGATGAGGTGGATTGAAGATTGGTGTAAAAACTGGACTGAAGGATGGCGATTGTGGTACCCGGACGAGGAAGAAGTTAATGGGTGATTACCGACTATCGGATCCGACATGATCGTGAATCCGATCCGACAGAGGATACAATTCGAGAGGGGGTCCGATTCAAGAGAGCTTTCAATTTAATAGATGATCCGACTTTCGAGGGGATCCGAAATAAGAGCAGATCCTGACTGAAGTCAGGATTAGGGGATATATCACGGGGACTATGATGTAAAGAGACAGGGTGACTCCAAGTATGACGCGTGGGCAATGAATGTAATATCGATAGGCCGTTTCGTATGTTCATTCAATTAGTTGGCTGACATCAAACAAAGTTTAACTTACTTCCGATCTAGATATTTGGCCTCCCAAACGATATCAAGCTTTTCGTTTCCCGTCTATACAAGTGTCGCACCTGAATCGATTAGCCAGGTGCGTACAAGACTCTCAGAACATCTCTACAACTGTGATAGAGCGCAGAAAAAGCAAGGGTGATTAAGATCGCGAGACGGCTCAAGTGGTCATAAAGTCGAGCGGACCCCGATCTACATATTGAACAGGGCGATACCATTGAGATATTGGTAGATTATATTGAGTACCTACAAAAGACCTGTGATCGTGTGAAGACTTCCGCGCGATTATATTAGTCCCAAACGGTCAAGTTTAGCATCAGCACGAGTTAACGAAAAAAGTGTAGCCCGCTCTACCGACGCGTACACAAGGTGAGAAAAAAATTAAGCACGGC